CGATGTTGTGTGCTTCTGGGCTCAAACAGCAAGTGGAACAGGTGGGGATCTTCACAGTACAAAGTACTCTCTCCTCAGTTCACAGTAGGGCGACAGTGGGTTAAATGATTACTTTATCAGCGTTGCTGTATACTTCTGGGCTCAAACAGTAAGTAGAACAGGTGAGGATATTCACAGTACACAGTACTCTCTCTTCAGTTCACAATAGGGAGACAGTGAGTCATAAGGTTACTTTACCAGCGATGCTGTGTGCTTCTGAGCTCAAACAGCAAGTAGAACAGGTGGGGATCTTCACAGTACAAAGTACTCTCTCCTCAGTTCACAGTAGGGCGACAGTGGGTTAAACGATTATTTTACCAGCGATGCTGTATGCTTCTGGGCTCAAACAGTAAGTAGAACAGGTGAAGACATTCACAGTACACAGTACTCTCTCTTCAGTTCACAATAGCACTCTGGGCTTCTGACGGGGGCAGATATAATATCCTTCCACGAACGTGTAAGCATGGATAGGGGCCACTTCTCAACAAAGACACAGCACACTTGTGTTCACTTCAATTCCACAGCAGTAAATCAATGTGTATTAATAAAGCAAAAAGCACTGCAATTCACTCACACGATAGGGTTGGACAGAGGCCCCACTCCGTCCGTTGCGCTCGTTTACAGGGGTTTCACTTTTAATTCCTCCTCATCACACTCTGAAACACATAGCTCCTCCAACCGTCAGATCCACATTCACTATATCCTCTTCAAGCGGTTCAAATGTCCATAAGATGAAAACAATTCACTTATCTTTCCTCTCTCCTTCCACAGCACAGATCCAGTCCTAGCTCGGTCCAGCAGTCTTCCCACAAACGATCACTCTGACCCAGCAAACTCGAATGGGCGATCTCCACACCCCAACGATTTTTCAGAGGAAGCCTGTATCCAGCACTGCCCAGAGTCAACCCACTTTAATGTCTGATCTTGGCAACCCTTTGGAATCTTGACACACTGTACACCCACCGACCGCGCTGCAAACACTCTCTAAATGCCCCTTTTATATCGTGGCTTATGAAACAGGGAGTCTGTGTGAGTGCCGCTCCTCTCTCTCTCACACCTGCAATGCATTAGCGCTAATCAGTACGGGCATGTTTCCATAGGCGTTTCTCAATGTCAAGGAAGGATCCTCGGAAGCCGGAATTTCGAGGATGCTACGTCATCGACGTCCGTCGAAGGACTGTTCCAATGTCGAGGATCCTCAGAATTTCAACCAAGGACTGAGTCCTTCGTTCGGAAAATATCCCATACACAGGAAAGGATGCATATGTGTAGCCTTCGCGCTCTTAAATCACCCACAATCCTATGCGCAGCTTTGCTATCTTGTTCAAAAAATAAAAAAATGTCGACCGTTAGCGGAGTCGGAGTGATAACGGCAATATGCTTTCAAATGTAAGCAAGTATAATTTCAGTTATAGCCATTTATTTAATGTTTGTTAAACTATTTAACATATCGGCTCAAATTTGCTGAGGGGATTTAAAGCTGTTCCCTTTTACTGGTGATTAAATTTTAATTTTTACTTCATATAACGTTATAGCCTTTTTTGTTGGTCACATATTTTACCATTGCATGTGTTTTAACAGCTAGATGTTGCTATGGACGTAGTGCTAGTTCTGTTCACTCCGGTAATATAATCGTTTTTGAATGAATAAACTCCTTTTTAAATAAAAATTTTGTGTCAAATTATTGATTTATTTGGTAGGTAGCTAGCCGTTTGGTAGGTACAACCCCTTCAGGCTGATTCAATCAAGACCCCTCTGCTTTAGAGTTTGCGGGGTTGTATTCACTATAACAACCGCCTGGTTATACATTATCCCTTATACTTTATTTATTTATTTATTTATTTATTTCTATGAGGACTGACAAGACAAAATAAGGACTGTCAACAAACAGTGCAGTACTATGATTTTTGCAGCGCCGAAGCGGACCTTTCACTGATGTAATGACGCAATGACGTGCACTTGCTAGCCTGTTCCATTTATGTGTTCTCCGAATGCTAAAGAGGACCCTTGCCTAGCCTCTGAAGGAAATGACTTGGAAGGACCCGTCCTGCCAAGGAAGTATCCTTGACATTGAGAAACACCTCATCACACCCGGAACCGTAGTGGAGTTTTGCACCCAATACGTTCCCCTAGGAAACTCAGGACTCTCAAGAAGGTTCCGTTTACTGAGCGATTTTGTCACCCGTGACACACACATGTCAGTCGGCATCTCACGTCAAGTTCGTAAAGAGCTTTAATTCAGTCCATTTTACAATCCGATTTTGGCCGCCTCTCAGTTTCTCAGATGGGTCAAACCAAAGATATTACCTCAGAACTTCAAGTAAATGAACTAGAAATCCGTGCTCATTCAAGGGTGTGCATCTATTGCATGGACGGAGAAAAAGCACTGATATCATCAGACATCCATTAGTGCATGCGAGGGAAACAGCTGGAAACACGGCGCTGGTTGTTCTCTCCATACTCAATACGACGGAATCCAACGGCGTGCACGGGAGAAGGTATAATACATGTATTAAATTGTATGAAATAATCCCGGAAAAGCACAAACACAGCTGAGGGTGACGCTAACAGACAGCAGACAAACGACTAGCAGTGAAAGCGGCTGCAAGAATCCACCCGTCACTCAAGTGGCCACGCCCTTAATTATGCAGAACTTTAAGGCTTAAATATAATTTAAATTTTTGTAAAAAAATGTTTGTAAAAAAATTCACCCCCCTCACAGTTGTCATGAAGGGAAAAATGAGCTCTATAGACCAAAGCCACTTTTTGCTCCAGGCTGTAAACATGTTTTTTTCTGCTGTAAAGTTGGGCATTTTAACATGGGGGAGATACAGATTTGACTCGCTTCTGCAGCCTGCCTCAAGCGGCCACTCGATAAATTGCAGTTTAATTCACTTCCGTGTTGGCTTCAAGAGAGAGACGGGGAGGTTGCCGCTTGAAGTTAACGGGTGAGCTGCGTTTTTCTGGATAAAAACGTTCTTGGATAAGAATGGTGAAGACCCCCATACTGAGATATTTAAGTTTGCTCAATGTGGAAAAAGCATTTTATGTGATTGGCCAGATTTTAGCAATAACATTGATAACTGGATCCTTTATGATAATACATGTTGTGGTACAACTGGGCATACAGTGCAATGCAAATAGTAATTAACGTAAAGTAAGAAGTAATAGTAAATAGTTTAGTCAATAAAATAAACAAATAGTATACAGCAAATAAAATGGTAATGAATACTAGTATAATTATATAAAAATATTGATAGTATAGTTTATTAATAATGCTATCCAGAGGCGCTGCAATAGGGCAGGCAAGGCAGGCAATTGCCTGGGGCCCCGCATTTTGAGGGGGCCCCCGAGGGCCGATCATTTAAACAATCAAAAATGTTCGTATTAATATAACACGCAGTGACACCGCAACACCTCGGCATCCCCCGACTCGCGAGGCTGCTTATGCTTTCGCCGCCTCTGGCGCCTTTTTCAAACAGCGCTTACTCATGTTTCTGAAACCCAAAATAATATCCGAAAATGCATGAATTTATGTATTGAACATGAAGAGGACATATCCATCTGGCAGCCAGAAGCGGAAAAAAAAGCAAAATGAAGTGGAGAAGAGAAAACAGGACTGCGGTAAGTGATGGAGAATGAGATGATGATGATTGATTGACTTTTGATTGGCTAATTAATGACATACAAATCGTTTCGTTGTTCAGTTCACATCTATTTTTCACAGTAGTAACATTAGTTATCGATTTAAAGCGTCTTTACAGAAAATATATGTAGCTAGGCTACATTTATTTTCTTTAAAGATGTTTTAAAACGATAAGGTTACTACTGTGGAAAAACAGATGTGAACAGAACAACGATTCAACGAAACGATTTATTTATCTCGAGTGATCTGTTATCAGAGGTGACTGTTGAGTAATGGATTTCAGAAATGTAAAAAAAAAGTCACACAATCCACGTTGTTATAATTTTAGTTTAGTTTCACTTAATTTTTGCAAGATTAATTACTAGTAACGTTGATATGGTTACGTAAAAACTGTGTTTAGCTAAGGGGGTTGCACTTAGCAAAAGCATGTAGCTGCTAAAGTGTTGGTGTTGGACAGTATTAATGTAGGCTGGAATAGAAGAATACTGTTGGTAGCCTACAGCAGCAGGGAATAATGCGCACATCAGTGACATCGCTTGGAAAATGTCTGTTCTGCATTGAAAAACACATGTAAAAAAAGTAAATTAGTTATAATTAGCTGATAAACTAAGGTAATAATAATAATAATATTAATAAAAATGATTCAATTAAGATCCTGACAAAAGGCTATATATTTCTTATGTAGGAGCATTACTTAAGTTCCTGTCACCACTACTTCTGACAGAAGATTGTCCAGTCCCTCCTGACAGTGAAAATGGTAAGTTTAGAGTGTCAGATAATGCTAATATAGAATAATAAAATAAATATTAAATAAGTTGCTAACCATATGTTTCTTATGTAGGAGCATCACTTAAGATCCTGTCACCACCACTTCTGACAGAAGATTGTCCAGTCCCTTCTGACAGTGAACAGGGTAAGTTTAGAGTGTCAGATAATGCTAATATAGAATAATAAAAATTAATATTAAATAAGATGCTAACCATATGTTTCTTATGTAGGAGCATCACTTAAGTTCCTGTCACCACCACTTCTGACTAAAGATTGTCCAGTCCCTCCTGACAGTGAAAATGGTAAGTTTAGAGTGTAAGATAATGCTAATATAGAATAATAAAATAAATATTAAATAAGTTGCTAACCATATGTTTCTTATGTAGGAGCATTACTTAAGTTCCTGTCACCACCACTTCTGACAGAAGATTGTCCAGTCCCTCCTGACAGTGAAAATGGTAAGTTTAGAGTGTAAGATAATGCTAATATAGAATAATAAAATAAATATTAAATAAGTTGCTAACCATATGTTTCTTATGTAGGAGCATTACTTAAGTTCCTGTCACCACCACTTCTGACAGAAGATTGTCCAGTCCCTCCTGACAGTGAAAATGGTAAGTTTAGAGTGTCAGATAATGCTAATATAGAATAATAAAATAAATATTAAATAAGTTGCTAACCATATGTTTCTTATGTAGGAGCATTACTTAAGTTCCTGTCACCACCACTTCTGACAGAAGATTGTCCACTCCCTCCTGACAGTGAAAATGGTAAGTTTAGAGTGTCAGATAATGCTAATATAGAATAATAAAATAAATATTAAATAAGTTGCTAACCATATGTTTCTTATGTAGGAGCATCACTTAAGATCCTGTCACCACCACTTCTGACAGAAGATTGTCCAGTCCCTCCTGACAGTGAAAATGGTAAGTTTAGAGTGTCAGATAATGCTAATATAGAATAATAAAATAAATATTAAATAAGTTGCTAACCATATGTTTCTTATGTAGGAGCATTACTTAAGTTCCTGTCACCACCACTTCTGACAGAAGATTGTCCACTCCCTCCTGACAGTGAAAATGGTAAGTTTAGAGTGTCAGATAATGCTAATATAGAATAATAAAATAAATATTAAATAAGTTGCTAACCATATGTTTCTTATGTAGGAGCATCACTTAAGATCCTGTCACCACCACTTCTGACAGAAGATTGTCCAGTCCCTTCTGACAGTGAACAGGGTAAGTTTAGAGTGTCAGATAATGCTAATATAGAATAATAAAAATTAATATTAAATAAGATGCTAACCATATGTTTCTTATGTAGGAGCATCACTTAAGTTCCTGTCACCACCACTTCTGACTAAAGATTGTCCAGTCCCTCCTGACAGTGAAAATGGTAAGTTTAGAGTGTAAGATAATGCTAATATAGAATAATAAAATAAATATTAAATAAGTTGCTAACCATATGTTTCTTATGTAGGAGCATTACTTAAGTTCCTGTCACCACCACTTCTGACAGAAGATTGTCCAGTCCCTCCTGACAGTGAAAATGGTAAGTTTAGAGTGTAAGATAATGCTAATATAGAATAATAAAATAAATATTAAATAAGTTGCTAACCATATGTTTCTTATGTAGGAGCATTACTTAAGTTCCTGTCACCACCACTTCTGACAGAAGATTGTCCAGTCCCTCCTGACAGTGAAAATGGTAAGTTTAGAGTGTCAGATAATGCTAATATAGAATAATAAAATAAATATTAAATAAGTTGCTAACCATATGTTTCTTATGTAGGAGCATTACTTAAGTTCCTGTCACCACCACTTCTGACAGAAGATTGTCCACTCCCTCCTGACAGTGAAAATGGTAAGTTTAGAGTGTCAGATAATGCTAATATAGAATAATAAAATAAATATTAAATAAGTTGCTAACCATATGTTTCTTATGTAGGAGCATCACTTAAGATCCTGTCACCACCACTTCTGACAGAAGATTGTCCAGTCCCTCCTGACAGTGAAAATGGTAAGTTTAGAGTGTCAGATAATGCTAATATAGAATAATAAAATAAATATTAAATAAGTTGCTAACCATATGTTTCTTATGTAGGAGCATTACTTAAGTTCCTGTCACCACCACTTCTGACAGAAGATTGTCCACTCCCTCCTGACAGTGAAAATGGTAAGTTTAGAGTGTCAGATAATGCTAATATAGAATAATAAAATAAATATTAAATAAGTTGCTAACCATATGTTTCTTATGTAGGAGCATCACTTAAGATCCTGTCACCACCACTTCTGACAGAAGATTGTCCAGTCCCTCCTGACAGTGAAAATGGTAAGTTTAGAGTGTCAGATAATGCTAATATAGAATAATAAAATAAATATTAAATAAGATGCTAACCATATGTTTCTTATGTAGGAGCATCACTTAAGTTCCTGTCACCACCACTTCTGACAGAAGATTGTCCACTCCCTCCTGACAGTGAAAATGGTAAGTTTAGAGTGTCAGATAATGCTAATATAGAATAATAAAATAAATATTAAATAAGTTGCTAACCATATGTTTCTAATGTAGGAGCATTACTTAAGTTCCTGTCACCACCACTTCTGACAGAAGATTGCCCAGTGCCTCCACACTAGGCATGGGCGGTATCCAAATTTTCATACCGTCAAACCTCCTCCCTATTTTACCGCGGTATATGGTATTACCGCGTGACTAATTAAAAATTACGAGATAAGGCTCAGACGGCATCACACATGATGACACGTTCAACCAGAGAGTGATTTAATATTTCTTATGTAGGAGCATTACTTAAGTTCCTGTCACCACCACTTCTGACAGAAGATTGTCCACTCCCTCCTGACAGTGAAAATGGTAAGTTTAGAGTGTCAGATAATGCTAATATAGAATAATAAAATAAATATTAAATAAGTTGCTAACCATATGTTTCTTATGTAGGAGCATCACTTAAGATCCTGTCACCACCACTTCTGACAGAAGATTGTCCAGTCCCTCCACACTAGGCATGGGCGGTATCCAAATTTTCATACCGTCAAACCTCCTCCCTATTTTACCGCGGTATATGGTATTACCGCGTGACTAATTAAAAATTACGAGATATGGCTCAGACGGCATCACACATGATGACACGTTCAACCAGAGAGTGTCGGTTCCAATAATGCATCTAAAAGCTGTCAATCAACTATTAGAAAACAGGAGATACACATTGTCTCACACCAGAGAATGTGAGCAGAGTGGTGATATTTTCTCGAGGGGAGCGCATTTCTGAAGATCACGCGCCACGAGCTCTCGACGCGAGCCGAGTGGAGCTGAGATAAAATTATTTATTAATAAACTACTGTTTTCTATGTCAGTTGCTGCAAAGATAAAGATTGCATTGACGATGCAAACTGGCATCTTCATGGTATGAAAACACGAATAAAGAGTAGCCTAATGCACACTTCATATGAATAAGCCTATTGTTGATGAAATCTTTCTGTCACTCCATAGACAGTCTACACAATTTGCCCAATAACATGCATTTCTGGAAAAAAGCAGAGACACACAATTTTTAAAGTCTGTGAGTGCATATTTGTTTCACCCCAGCCATCGTCTTCTGTTTTTAGTTGTTACCAGTACATTTTCCTGGAAATAGCAATCACACAAAAAAAGTAAGTTAGCCTACTTAAAAAAAAAAAAAAAAATCTTTTCTGCACACAATGTCAAACTACTGAACATATTTGCTTGTATTTTCCAGTAAGTTAGTGTCTGATATTTCTAATATTCCTGATATTAAATTTAAACAAGTAAAGTCACCGTGTATAGCACTTCATACAATACAGATAGTTTTTAAAAAAATGCGTTAATAGTGATAGACAATATTCTGCAAAGTGCAAACATAAGTTACACAATCTGCTGTGGCGCAGTTAACACTAACGTTAAACAGTGTAACGTTAAACCGGAGAATGGTAAAACTAACATTACAGAATAGAAGCGGCGTTTCCTCTAATTTTCCCACCGGGCTGAACAACATATACATAAAGTCTTTTTTACACCAATCTAAAATAAAAAAAGAGAAATATGAGGACATTATATGTTATAATTTACTCACCTCTAAGCTGAATGACTTGACAAGGCCTCGCGCAATGAACTTCTTTTCTTCCAGAAAACGCTTCTCTTCCATTCCACTTGTTAATGACCGTCGTCACCACGAGTAATGCTGTCATGTCTTTGTGTTTTAATTGTGATAGTTCATAAATATGAACCTATATGAACGATAATTTCAGTGAGGAAATCAACCAAACCATATTTTATGGAGCAGACACTACGCGGAAAGACCATAGACTGTAAAAAAATATGGACGTAGTGTCCGTGACGTCACCCATAGGTTTCTGAAGAGCGTTTTTGAGGCCTAAAGTGGGCGTGGCCGGCCGTCGCCATCTTGGCAGTGCGTCACCTCTCGTCACTACCGGATAAATTAAAATGGGCAAAGAGGCGGGACGCGGGTGGAGCTGAGGTGCTAATGCTATGCTACTGCTCTACTCCCTCGCGCTGAATTGACAGCTGATTGAAAAAGTAAAGCCAATGGTTAAAGTTCATGTTTTGCCCTTCGAAATATTATAATAGTTAAGACGTAACTGAAAGTGAGACTATTTACTTTCCTTTTTTATCAACTTTATTAATCTCACAAGGAGTACATAACAGATCACACACATTTCTCACAACATACAGTCAACTATCGCATCGTGATGCATTATTATTCTGCTAGTTAAAAATGTATTAATTACTTACAATATTGCTCTAAGCTTGTGCATGTGACAGTGATTCAAGGCAAGCACACGTCAGTCGGCATCTCACGTCAAGTTCGTAAAGAGCTTTAATTCAGTCCATTTTACAATCTGATTTTGGCCGCCTCTCAGTTTCTCAGATGGGTCAAACCAAAGATATTACCTCAGAACTTCAAGTAAATGAACTAGAAATCCGCGCTCATTCAAGGGTGTGCATCTTTGCATGGACGGAGAGAAAGCACTGAAATCATCAGACATCCATTAGTGCATGAGAGGGAAACAGCTGGAAACACAGCGCTGGTTATTCTCTCCATACTCAACACGACGGAATCCAACGGCTTGCACGGGCGAAGGTATAAAACATGTATTAAACTGTATGAAATAATCCAGAAAAGCACAAACACAGCTGAGGGTGACGCTAACAGACAGCAGACAAACGACTAGCAGTGAAAGCGGCTGCAAGAATCCACCTGTCACTCAAGTGGCCACGCCCTTAATTATGCAGAACTTTAAGGCTTAAATATAATTTAAACAGATGAGTTGTAAAAAAATTCACCCCCCTCACAGTTGTCATGAAGGGAAAAATGAGCTCTATAGACCAAAGCCACTTTTTGCTCCAGGCTGTAATCATGTTTTTTTCTGCTGTAAAGTTGGGCATTTTAACATGGGGGAGATACAGATTTGACTCGCTTCTGCAGCCTGCCTCAAGCGGCCACTCGATAAATTGCAGTTTAATTCACTTCCGTGTTGGCTTCAAGAGGGAGACGGGGAGGTTGCCGCTTGGGAAAGACGCTGACTGACAGTAATGAGCATCAGCTGCTCTCGAGACTCGTTGTCAGGACAACGCCCGCTGCGCGTGCGCGCGAAGGAAGCTCTGGTCACATGGGCTATGTCTCGCACAAAACAGCAGAACTGCAGTACAGTTTAATATTGGTAGGCCAAGACTTCAGATGCAAAAAACAAAAACTTCATCTGTCTTTTTTTGCTCCTTTATTTAGGTTCAGTAATTTCACTTTTTAATGGCAAAACTGATATCATTGCCCGAGAGCCCAATAAAAACAAAAAGATAAAAAAAAATGATTAGTTCCCTTTCGTAGTCACTTCGAGTTACGTCAGAAGTGACGGAGATTGGGGGATTTCGCATAGAAAGCCAATCCTCTTCGAGTATTTAAACACGAGCCAATGGCAAGCAATGCCTTGGGGCTGCGGAAATTTGCATAGCGTACTCCGCCCTACTCCGTGAGTATAAAAGGAGGAAGTGAACGCAACCGCAGTATGTTTTCGCTTCGGAGCCAAGAGAACCTCTTCACTCCTGAAAGCCATTCTCACTGTTCTGCATCGCCTGCGATCTGAGCAGTGGTCTGCCAGACTTTGCGCTTCTCCCTGGTCGCTTCAGCGCTGAAAGAGTGAATTTCCTCCTCTCATTGAAAGAGCTGC